GAATACACACATACATAATAACATATACACGTACATACATACATATACGCGTGTACCTTCATACAATGTTTATATATTTACATATATATATATATATATTTACCACTAATAACAAATTTCATATCTCTCCTATCTATATATATATATATATATATATATATATATATATATATATATATATATATATATATATATTATTTTAATGTATATTGATTTTTCCAAATGTTTATCGGTAAAATATACATATAGTATCAATAATATAAATTTAAATAAAGAAAAATGGACATGAGATCAAGATCGATTCACAAAATGAAACAAATTGTATATATATATACAAATTTTATTCTTGTAAAAATTCTTTCTTTCTTTTATTACAGATATATCATCTTCAAAATATATATATATATATATATATATATATATATTATATTTCAACGATTTTTTAAATTTCATTTTAATGGCATTTTTTACATTTTTATTCGTAAATATTATTTAAACCATTGAAAAAAAAAAAACTCATTGAACAAACATGTTTCTGAAAACATTAGAATTAATACATGTATTATCCAAACTTAATTACTATGACAAAATACAAAAAAATTTTAAAACAGATCAAGAATAGATAACGATTTTGAATGATAATGCATGCATTATATACATATTTATATAAATATATATTTAGTTCGAATACACATTGATATATTAGACGATTGTGAAATTGCGAAAAGAGAATTTTAGACCTAATTACATCTTGTTGAAAAAGGAAGAAAAGATAAAATGATGAATGAAATATTCATTTTATAGACTTAAATATATTAGGGAAAATGGGTTTTGATTGAAGCCAACTTTATCATAATCCACAAGAATATCTTCCAGATTTAAAATGATTTGTTATAATATTTATATGTCTATATATTATATTTGATTTATTTTTTTTTTTTAAACAATTTAAATGTTTGCAAGGCTGGAATAAAACAAATGAAGGGATTACAGATAAGTTATAGAGCAAGAAAAATAAAATGATATTCAAATAAAGGATGAGGGTAGTGGATAGATCAAGGCAACTGGAGATGTCGATTGACATTACACTTGAATAGCTGGAGATTATAGCTCATCTGGGAAATAGGAATAGGGAAGGTTCCACATTGATAGGTGCGAGACATGAAGATAGATATTTTAGAAGATACGGCTATATTTAGGGAGTTTCGACAGTAAGGGGTGAGAGCGATATATACCAGCCTCGTAGGGCGCTGGAACTTGACGTCTGGGGAACCAGCGAATGCAGCTCCTCGGAGCAATTTCCATAATGTTAACATTTGTGGGAATCGATCATATCATATAGGCTTCTTGTACTTTGTTGTTTCAAACCAACCTTTTTATCTTTAACCAATTATATTTATCATTGTTCATATAAATCTATTCACGCAAACAAAACTAATTAGCTATCTCCTAATATATTTTTTTGAAATCTATGTGATCCATAAGGCATTTAAATCGGGAGAATGGAAAGATATCTATTAACTATCTATAATCACCTTATTAAAATCTAAGTTATCTTCAAATAGCGAGCCCCGAAAACCAAAACAAAAAATTATGATTGTATAAAAATACATTTTTATATACAAAATACAGTAATTTTTATTCAATAAAATTCCAATAACATTTCATTTATCGAAAATATTTAGTTGAAAACTACAATTGAAAATGTTGAATGAAGAATATTTAGATTAATGACATTAAATATAAACAATAGAGATGTTGATATGCTGTTAAACAATGGTAATTGATGAGCATGAAAGAAAGATATCTCTTTCATGACATTATTCCATATAATATCCTACAACAAACTATATTTAAGAAATCAAAAATTAATGTTGAAAAATAAATTTTACAACAATACTATATAGAACATACCAATCACAAATATGCAGTAATTATGTATATAAAAAAAAATGAGTATCATTACTATGTATTCAACTGTGAAAGCTATTTTATTAAAATATATGTTTATATTTCAAAAATTTTTCACGAAAATTAAATTTCGACATTAAATGACCCGTAATAGTTGATAAACAAATTCATTAAGTAAGTATTTTATTTCATCATCATTTCTCTTACTTACAATTGAATACATATTAATGAATTTTAAATTCTCCAATTCGTTTTTTTCAGTATTTATTTAAATTTGAATATATAATTTAATTTAGAAAATTATCAAATTTTTCATTATTCATAAAGATTAGAATCATGATTAAAGGCAGTATTTAAAAAAATTTTTTTTAAATCCAAAATATATTTAAAAATATAATTCATATGTATATTGTGTTCCGGGAAAATTTGGAAATCAGGGATACACAATTTTGAAAGAATCTTAAATTTAAATTTTTACAGACAGGATAACAAAATTAGACCTGTAGTACATTTATTTCTTATAATAATTCCTTATATTATCTTGTTTTTATTTTTACTACTTTCTTTATATTTTAAAATAATCTATAAATTTCATTGAACTATTTGATATCTTTGTGTTTCCAGATATCAAAACGAGGCGCAAATCATGGCCGTACCCTTTGAAATGGCAGGAGTGTATCGAATCAAACAATCAAACCAAAAAGTGATAGAAAATAAAGGAAAGAATAATGCGTTATGGGTGCACATTGTTTACTTTGCCTAAGCTTGAATGAGGAACAGAAGACGGTTAAACAAGAAGATTTAGGTTAATAGACATTGAATATATATTGAAAAGCACACCATTTTCAAAGGCAATCAGTGGGGATGATTAATGCATTTCATTCCATCATTCCAACTTTTATTTTGTTTGTTATTTTAATGAGCATTCAGTTATATCATCGATCAATCAAAACCAATAATTTAAATATATATCATAAATACACAAACGTTATTTATATATATATATATATATATATATATATATATATATATATATATATATATATATATATATATAAATATACATATCTAAAAAATCATTATATTATTTTTATCTATCTCAGTATTATTATCTAAATACATAAAGATAGTATCATTTTTATCTATATATTTATTTATATATCTATTCACTATCTATATACCGGAATAAAAATCTATCTAACTATCTATCTATCTATTCATCTATCTATCTATTATCTACAATCTTTGTATTCATTTATCGTTCTCATCTATTTTAAAATTTTATTATTGGGCAGACACTGATATTGTCCATAAAATTTATTTTTGTTTTTTTTGTTTTTTAGTATTTTTTTTTTTTTATTTATTTTTTTATAATGGTTTTCTATCTATATCTTTAGAAATCTATATTAATATATATATGTGAATATATTCATTTAAAGATATTAAATCTTGACATATATGTAATTTAAATATCATCATAAAACATTGCATCATTGTTTAATCTATATTTATAAGAATAACGAAAAATCAATATATTTTATATATTTACAATAAACATGTATCTTATATTACATGTCACAACACACACACATATATATATATATATATATATATTTATATATATATATATAAAATAATATAAATATATATATATATATATATATATCAAATGTAGTAAAAAAAACATGTAAATATATATATAGTTATATATAATAAAAGATCAAGTAATATGATAAACCAATCCAAATTAAAATTAACAAAATTGAAATAATTTGATGATATATTTATGTTTAATTTTTATTAATATAATTATATTATTTGTATTTATAGTATGTCTTTAGGTTTTTTCTGCATTTTGTAAACATCTGATGAATTTTATAGAAAATTAAAACATATATTTTAATAGGTATTTTCAAAATTTTCTATTTCACCTAATGAACAATTAGTAACGATATATAAAATATATATTTATATAATATATATTTTATATATATTGATACATGTTATTTTTATTTTATATATATATTTTAATGTATTTCTTTTTCTATTGTTAATTTTCTGTTTTATTAGACCCATTAAAAATCTACGTATATGAATCGTATAATATATTATAGTCATTTTAATATGTAAATAATTGTTTAAATGTTTGAATATTTATTCAATCTTGAATAGAAATTGAGTGTTATATCTGAATGTCTTACATATCGATGTATTTATGGGTATATGTAAATAATTTTTCGGTATATGTATATAGTAATTGCATTTTATTTCATGCATTTTTGTATGCAATAATTTTTTTCCTGTTGGTTTTTTTGTGTGTATATATATCTAAATATGTCTAAAGTATTTATATATTATAATTTGATTGTGTTTGTATTGTCTTTCAAGAAGATGTCATAATCCCATGTCTACATTTGTATCCATGTTGTCATTAAGTTAAGGGCAGTCGATTTAACGTTTATTCCAACGTAATTTCAATAAAAAACAAAATGAATAGAATAAAAAATGTATTTTTTTTTTTTTCCTCAATAATTTTAAAATTTTAAATTTAATATAAATTAAATTTAAATTTTTTGAAATGGGTAGTTTTTAATTTGAAGGAAAATTTTATCGTACAATTTAATATTTATTAGTTAAATAAATTCTATTTTAGTATAAACCCAACTTGAAAAGCATTTAATAATTATTATAACCTTACATTTCGTTGTCAAGTTTTTTTGAAGCCAAGGATATACTTGTATTTTGATTGGTCATTCCAGCTTATGTAACAGCGTTACCCATTATGAAGGGTTTTAATTCCCAAGTTGAACCTTTTAAAATATTTATACTGCATACATTCAATATTGAATTTGATAAGAAGAGAAGAGGTGTTGAAACAAAATGCCTATTTTTTTTAGGGATTTTACACCACAAATATAAATTTATGTTATAATTATTAAATAAAAAATTATATATATATATATATATATATATATATATATATATATATATATATATATTACAAAAGTTATTTTTGATTAAGAAAAATCAGAAGGAGGAGAAAAGGAGGAAATTAGTTTTTTTAAGGAAAAAAGGATTAAAAGAAAAAATCATGGGTTTAATTTCCTTGTCCCAAAATAGATAGATAGATAGATAGATAGACCTGAAATTAAAGATAGATAGACAGGAATGTTGAGATATATTTATAAATATTTAGATCATCATCATTATCATATCGTGATCATTATTTTGCCGTGTCAAAAAAAACGTCGACAATTATCAAAAAAAAATAATCTGTCCCAATGAAGATAGATAGGATAATAGATAAATTGATATATTAGATAGAAATTTGAAAACGAAATAAAAAGGGAATTTTAGATATTTAGAAATAAAAAATGATCAACCATCAAAAACATATTCATCATCATCATCATTGATTTCAAGATCATTATAAAAAAGAAATAGATAGAATGAACGTCGACAATTATAGTTCACCAACAATGAAATAATTCCTAAGATCGATAGATAGATAGATGATAGATAGATAGATAGATGAGATAGAATAAGAAGGAACCGGAAAGGAAATATAGATTAGATAAATAGAATAGAAGATAGATAGATAGATAGAGGAATTAAAAAAACATGATAGATCTTACATGAAATGAATTATTCGTTGTATAGAGAGACAGATGAATATACTGATATTTTTATAATTTTAATTTCGCACAAAATTATTATTTTTTAGAACAAAAAAATAATAAACACATAGATCAATGATGAAACTGTCTTCAGAAAAATGGAACATCATAGGGGAATGAATGGTCCGCCAGAAATTTAGAAAAAAATGCGGTATTGCTTGGCATTCGCAAAAAATTTCTAAGGCGAACATTTTGGGCGTAAAATAGAAAAAGAAATGCAGAGGATTGGGATAGATAGATAATAAATGGATCTTTACGAAGAATGTTTGGAAATGATTACTGTCAAGTTTTATTTTATTCTCCATTCATCTCACCAGGTTTTTAGATCAGATAAATTTTTCGAAAATCGAGTATACAGGAGGTATAAAAATAAAGTTGTCAGAAGAAAATATGTTTGAAAAACCCTAAAAATAAACAGGAATAAATACCAAAAAATGGAAATCAAGAAGAAGATTCATGGCTGTCAAAAAGAATGAGAGTACATAAATACTTACATTTACCATTTAAAAACCATACTGAAACCCTCTTGATTAATAAAGTTATTGCAATTGATTGAGTCACAAATCTTTAAAATTTGTAACAAATTAAAGATAAATTGAAGGCAAGGAAAACTAAAGCTAACAACTTTTAAACAAGGAAATTATAAGAAGAGATGAAAGAGATTCCGGATTCGTTAAAAATGGTTGAAACCAATTTAATTTATTGAATGAAATTTTGTGCAAGTATTAAAAGATTAAATTTAAGTTAATTAGTTACATTATTCAGACTATTGTCCTCATCTTTGTCGCGATATTTATTAAAACGTTTTGGTAGTTTACGTGTGGACCTTCGTTCAGGTGATTGGAATGTCAATATGAACCCTATATTTTGCTCACGAAATTAGTCTGTTCTAGTTCCACATGATGCGAAATGTTTAATGGATAGATTCAGTTATTCCTGTTATTTCCTTTCCAATTTCTTCACTATTAACGTTTTATTGAACTCACGAATTTGGATAGATAAAATTGACACTGGATTTAATTATAGCCTCTATCGACTGTGTTATGTGAGAAAAAGGGATCTTCGTCAGGGAATAGACCTCTGATGTGATGAAAGATGGCTAAGAATGGCGCAAAACCAGTAATTTTAGCAATTTCTTACTAAAACCTTCCAGTCAAATTAAATTAGTTTTTACAGCAAAAGAATTTTTACTTAGACGAAATATTATATTCAATCTATTTTCATTATAAAGTTTTAGAAAATTGATTTTTGGCATAGAAAGATGGTAAAATTATATTGACTAAGTAGAAAAATTTCAGAACTTATGCCATGGCTGTAAAATAGCTTGGCCTATAATCACCGAATGTACAACCTGGGTTGTTACATCGATTTTTTAAGATCAAAATATGACCGAATTATAAATCTTTAATGAAAAGGTCCAGGGCTAGAAATTACAGCAGCTCTTGCTAAATTATCTCCGATTCATTTGAATTAAATTATTCAATACATATTTATACAAAAACATTTGCATCGTAAATGAAAGGAAAATATTTAAAATGGGTTTCTGTTTTAAATTGAATTTGTAATCTTTGTTTTAGTAGAAATACTAGCCGTGGTTTTAGTGTAAAATCAAGCTAATGTTCAACCACAATGACGTGTCAAGGCCCCTTGCACACGTGTTAATAAGACGAAACCATACTTTTTAGATATTTGCATATTATTATGACATTACCATCTCAAATTCATGGAACCAAGTTTTGCATAACTATTTTTTTTTTAGCTGTGAGCTGTTTACTGTCGTATATCTTTTATCACATGGCACGTCTGAAAGCGCAACAACTTATTTTCCCATCTCCGCATACTACGGATAAAAGTATACTATTAAATTCTTAAATTCTAATTAAAATAAAGCTGTAAATTCATTTTGTCAGTCGTCCTAAATGTTCTATGTATATAATATATATATATATATATATATATATATATATATATATATATATATATATATATATATATATAGTTTATAAGATAATAATGGATAATTCCAAAGAAGATGTAACCCAGAGTATTTAATGTAAGACCAGAGCAAATATTACATTTTAAATAATTAGAGAATTTGACAACTTGAAGTTACTGACTATAATTTATTTTCCCAGAAGAAAAAAAAAATATATATATATAAAAGTGAACATAGATATCAACATTTTTATTTCAAGAATGTCTATTTCATGTTATATGCAATATCTGGCCATATATATATTCTTGGCCTGACGATTAAATATAGAACATAAAACAGACCGAAATTTATTTATCTATAAAGTCATTTTTATCCATTTCTTAATATATGATGTCATTTGTTTACATTTGATACGCCAGAGCATTTATGAATGTACGAGATTCATGGAAGATTGAAGTTTATAAGCAGTAAATTCGACCTTGACTACCGAACGCTCCTTTGTGGCCAATCGGTAAGGCACGTCAGCGTAAATGACGGTTCCGGATAGGATGCAGGTTCGAATCCTGTCAAAGGACGAATATTTTCTATGAAAATTTCTCGGACATTCAGGCCGGTAAATGTTATTTAATACTGTTTATTATAAACAGAGCATTGACTTAAATACTTGTATCTATAAAAAAAACGTTAAACATAAAAATGTCTTTAATATATATACTCGACTCTCCTTATTGTGGTGAAGGATTCGTGCAGGACCATCAACACATGATATATATATATATATAGTTATATCTGAAATTTTATACACACACATAAAACACACATGCGGCCGCACACACACATATATATATTTATATATATGGTATGAATATTGTTTGAGGGATGAAAGAGAGTTATCATGTAATATTCATTCCAATAAACGCAAAGTTAATATCTACAAACGTTCTATCTTACCGATTGTTATAGTAAATATTAAAGAAAAATTGCTTTGTCGTTTGCATATTTCTTCTGAAAACAATAGAATATTCACAAGGTGTACGGCAAACCGAACCAATGTGTGTGTAGAGAGAAAAAAGATAGACATTGAAAATGATTCATTGAATAATAAATAATCCACGAATAGATACACAAAATGGTTGAGAAGTGTTGAAACGAATGAGATATATATATATATATATATATATATATATATATATATATATATATATATACACAGGGAGAGAGAGTGAGAGAGATGAACCTACATAGATAGATTGACATGAACAAAGTTAGATATGAACAGAAAGAGTTAGTTTGAAATGACATAGCGTTATGGTTAGATATGAATAGACATACATGGTTACATAGATAGATAGATAGATAAATAGATAGATAGATAGATAGATAGATAGATATGAATAGACGTAGATAGATTGATAGATAAATATGAATAGACGTAGATAGATATATATGAATGTACATAGATAAATAGATAGTTATGAATAGACATAGATAGATAGATAGATAGATAGATATGAATAGACGTAGATAGATTGACAAATAAACATGAATAGATGTAGATAGATAGATATGAATTAACATAGATAAATAGATAGTTACGAATAGACATAGATAGATAGATAGATAGATAGATAGATTTATTTTCTTATTCTTATCGACGCTCGGCATCTATCCAAGCCAAAAAAAGAGAAAGAATGATAAAATTTCACGCCAAATGTCCAATTGTACTGGCAGAATTTCTCTTTTACCTTTAATAGATAATACTGAAACCTCAGCTGTCCACCAAGTAAGTATCTATATGTGTGTTTGTGTCTGTTTGTTTTTTGTGCGTACGTCTGTGTAACGGATACTGCTGCTCGAATTATTATCATAATAAATAACCGACCTCACATTCCAATAAAAAGGAACCATTTAGCGAGTTTTTACCATAAATCTTGAATGCTGTATTCTTTGTTAAGATCTGTGACTTATTTCCCATTTTATTTGCAAATCATGAACAAACCAATTTACGGTAAATCTTCTGTAAAACAATTCCAGAATAAATCATACGAGAAGAAACGAAAATTCTCCGGTAAAATCTGGTCTCATGAAATCCTATTAATTTCATTAACTTAATAAATTGCAAAAAATAAATAAATAAGGAAACATTATCCAGTATCCCAAAAGGAAGCAGTCAAGCGTCTCTCAGGAGAAATGCATCTAATCAATCAGGTTACAAAGTTTAATAAGACCCCAGTATATGTGACAATGGCCAATTCATTTAAACTGAGACGTAATTGTTTAAATACGTCGATCAATACTTCGTCAATATTATAGGACACCCCAAGAGTAATGTTTAATTCTGCATGTTAGATATCATTTTATATGCTTAGTAATACACAAGGCCACAAGATGGAAGAAGATCAGAAGGCGGCAAATTATAGTCTTTAATTTATGACTATGATTGGCCTGTTAACCCTTAAACGAAGGATATTTTCGATAAATATTCTATAGTCTTGAATGGCAACTATTCTAACACAGAAAAAAATGGCAAGCTACTGTGGGAAAAAATCTGCCTCGTCAGCTATCGAAAGATACATGATCGCTCAAGCGTGTACTACACATGGCATGTAACTGACATGTTTTATACTAGACTTATGCTTTGTTCTAGAAGATCTTCTTAAAGGAAATATGCCCCTCAGCAAGGGAAAAAACCGCATTCTATTTTTAAGGTGGACGTGGGTTAACCATTAAAAGATGAGAGTACGCATACCAAAAGATTCAATAAATATTTTGAAAGGAATGGATATCACTTATTTGGAACATTTAGAAAGATAACTCTGCTAACATAATTTTCCTAACCGAAAAGCAATTAATGTATATTTCCGATGTTATTTCTCATTACAATATCAAAAATTCAAGCAAGTAAAAATTTTAAATATTTAGGACATCTGCACAAGAAAATGTGACACTGAAAAACGAAAGCGCATTGCAATCAATGAAGACATCATTCAGAAGTTAAGCAAAGTATTAAGAAACATGAAAATTACTTTAGAAAAAAGAAGAAAATATTACTGAACTGTTATGCAATATCGGTCATTCTGTATGGCAGGGAATGCTGGACAATATCCTCATGCATACCGAAGAGACTTCGATCAACCGAAATGTGGTTCTACAGAAGGATGCTGAGAATATCATGAACTGAATATTTGATATCGACAAAGTTTTAAAGAAAATGGAAACAAAAAGAACACGAGTACATTGAATCGAAAAGAGACAATTGAAATTTCTAGGGCACATAGTGTGGAAAGAAGGTTTGGAGAATCTGACACTCACTGGATATACTAAAGACAAGAGGGAGTGAGGGATGAAGGTAATAACCTACTTAACAAGCTTGTAAAAAATTTTGACCGAACAAAAAATGAGGAGAGACAGCACAAAGACCGACCCTAGTAAAAGCTACAAAGAACGCGAAGCTGTGGAGAGCTATGGTGTCCTGAATAGACAGGACTCAGATAATAAAAAGTATTATCATTTCTTGTTATATGGAATACGTGTTAATGTAATCATTACTTTTTTTATATTTATGTAATTGTGTTTATTTCTATAAATTTAATTTGGTCCAATTACTTCGTATTTTTTTAACAAATCGTTGCCCTTATAATAAAATATTTAACTTAAAATGATCTTGAAACAAAAATACTGAAATATTCAATGAAGCCTTGGGTCGTCTATAAAACTACCGGTTATTCGAGTTGCTTGAAGCACACTGTCCGCCATCATACTTTCTCGATGACATCAGCTTTGATGAATGAAGATCTTTGTTTTGTCTTTTTAAGATTTTTAAATATTTATAGATTAATTCATTGAATTAATTATCTCGACGTATTTATTGTTTGTTTTTTATTTTTGAAGCTGTTCTCTTTTATTTTCATTAGCGAAATGTTGTATGCAATCATTGTTCTTCCTTTTTGAAATGTCGATTGTGTTTCTCTTTTTTTTTATTGGCGTAATGATTTAGGTTGTTCTGTAAAAGATATTTCAATGAAGAAATCAAAGAATCACACGCATAACAAGACGGCTGAATTTACAAGAACAGATCAATAAGTTCGTAGTCTGACATGTAACCAAATACGCGATTTAAAGAACTATCACACTGTTATTTGTTGAATTCTGATCTTGAATTTTCACTGTAGTATTCTATTTCAGGTCTCAGGAGGTAAGTGGAGTAAAAAAATTTAAAGTAATATTTTAGCAAGTAAAATGATATATCCCGGAAGATTTAATAAGAATTTTATGATAAATGCAGAAAATCGTTACATATATTCAATGAGTTGTTTTTTTAAAAGGTAAGGTCATATCCAACGAGAGTTTAGCTAGAGCATATTCATACAAGATAATGCATAAATCTACCATTGTTCCAATGATCTGACGTCATAGGTATGACAATAAACTACATCCGCGTACTGGTTAAAAGTTTAAACTATATCAGCGTATTGGGTAAGACTATAAACTACATCCGCGTACAATGTAAGACTATGAACTACATCCACGTAATGGGTAAAACTATAAATTACATCAGCGTTCTGGGTAAGACGATAAACTACGCCCGCGTTCTGGGTAAGACGATAAACTACGTCCGCGTCCTGGTTAATACGATAAATTACGTCCAACAGCAAGGCCTCAGATCCGGAGGTTTTGATGGGCCAGGAAGTACCTTTTAATTGCCGGTGTTCCCGTTCCACCCTGACTCGGGTGGTAACTCCCACTAGCGCCCCAGCTATGGGCAAATGGTTAACCCCCAAAACTTGGGTAAAAAACGTGTAAAAATAGGTTTTAATACCAGAAATACTTTGTAAAAAATTATTGCCAGTAATAAATATTCGAAGAAAAATTATTACCAACAATACATTATTACCAGCAATACATTTTTGAAAAAAATAATTACCAGTTATACATCTAAAATATATACCAGCAATAAAAATCTTGTCGGCATTAAATAACCCATTGAGGCTGATATGCCGTAAAGCAAAACAAATCAAAGCAATGATTTGAGTATTGCAGGCAAATACGATCTGATGCTCCTGTTATATATTTAGAGATTCTTTATCAAATCGAATAGAAATAGGTTCATTGTCATCAGTCCTGTTCTGGCGTCTCGGCTTCAGTCACTTTCCCACTGCCGTAAGGTTGCTTCTCTGTGCCTTTTCTATAAATAGCATCATGGGAATTGTTCAGATGAACGCTTTATCATAAACCCTGGGCTTTTTTAATTCAAGCGCAGTAACATACTGGCGACGGGATCTCATCAATTTACAATTGAATTGGCTAGATGTTAACGTAAGTTCTATGCTAACTGATTCTTTCCTGTATGTCTCGCTTGTCGAACTTCCTTTCGGCTTCATCCTTACCTGGCAACTTTAATCTTCAAAAATGTAAATGCAATGTCAATCGCTATCTACTGTCCTTCTGAACTCGATTAAAAAAGTAATAAAAGATTAACAATGACAGTCCCTTTGTTTTCTGAGTATGCATTCTACTAAGATATGTAGCTTATCCATGTTGCAAAAAGCTGCTTGGGTTGGTTTCGTTTCGTTTATCTTACGGTATATCAACCTCAATGGGTTATTTAATGCCAACATTTTTATTGCTGCTAAGAAGTTTCTCTTCAAAAATTTGTTCCTGATAATATTTTTTCCTTAAAAATCTATTGTTGGTGTTATGGGGTCCACCCCTTTATCATACGAGTGGACTCGACCAGTGTGTACTTGGACTACTGTCGTTAAATACCCAGAGTCATTCATAGATTGAGATTGTGATTGAGTTGGTGGTAGAGTAATAGTGTGAGGTAACTGCTTGTAGAAGTCACAGTTACAAGCACGTAAACTCTAAGGAAGTCCTACTTCGAGACTGAATTTACCAGACTGTATATATATATTATTATTGCTACTAACCGCGTTTCTGGATCTACTAACCGTATTACCAATTGCATTATTGTGTAAATACATTTATTTGTCATATTTCATTCCTGCGTTTTTCATTCATTGGAGACCGGATTTCATCTCGGAATCCACAACAGTTGGTAATGTGTTTTCTTCCAAAGATTACTGCCGTTATTAAAATCAATTTTTACACTTTCATTGTGTTTTGACCCCAGGTGAGGGTTAAATATTTGTCCATAGCATAGTACGGGTGGACCTGGGAACACCAGAAATTAAGTCTTGGTTCCACGCTCCTTAAAACCTCATGATCAGAGGCCTTGCTGTCAGACATAGTTATCGTCTGACCCAGGGCGCGGATGTAGTTTATCGTCTTACACAGGACAAACACACAGCTGCTAAGGCACATTTGTATTTCTGCAGCAACCAGGGATCAATCCCGTGTTTTATACTACGACCATAATGAACGGACCTTCGTTATATTTTCTGGGAGAAATGGATAATCAATCGTGAGCAAAAGATGAATAAAGCCAGTACGACCCAGTGACCGTCATTTCCGAACAGTTTTGTGTAACTAACTTCACTCACAAGGTTTGAGACAAAACTTTGTATGGTTTTCAGACATTTTACTAGTGACTGGGTAAGACAATAAAATACACCTGGCAGAAAAACATCCATTTGTGCGATTGGAGGTTTTGAGGAACGTGGAATCACGTCTTAATAGCTATTGTTCCCAGGTCCACCCTAACCTGGTGTGGTAGCACCAGTTAGGGCCCCAGCTATAGACAAATAGTGAACTACAAAACAAAAACAAAACACTATGTAAGTATAAAATTACTTTTTTTATAGTAAAAATACCAGAAATACATGTTTATATATAAAGAAATTATCACCAACACATATTAATAGTAAAATAACAAACAATACATTTTATCTTTAGTTGAAGGTATACAAATGCGTTCAAAATATTTACGTTTTGGCATGAAATAACCCATAGAATTTGATATGCCTCTAAACACAATCAACCAATCAACTAACAACTATGCCAAACGTCCGGTCGATATTATGAAGTAGTCAATTCCTTGTTGAAGAGAATATGGTATGATAAGAACTACGCCATATTGAATTACTATTCACCAAAGAATTACTTTCGTTGATAAGAAATAATTATGGGTCAACAAGAGAGAACCTGAATCACTACTCAGTAATTCTAGTCACCTCGAGACAGGGCCTGCCCTAGGTTCTCTCCCACCCCCCGAAACTTAGATACGGGTCCATCTCCCTACTAAATATCGATTTCAAAGTTTCCCAACCTAGGGGCCACAAACCCACGAAAGAAAACTCTGAGTGGCATGAGAACAGTGCATTTTTTATTTCCCAAAAATCAGGGGACTATCCAATTTAAATGAAAATTTCAGTACACATCGATTAATTATTTACTTTTATAATGAATGTTTTTTTTTATTTTAAAAAAATCTGAAAAAATATTCTTTTTGTAATAACCACCAATATTTTCATGACTATATTTTACTCGAAAAAAGGTTTCAGCCATAATTTTTTTCATTTCCATAACGACTAATCTTCGACCTTCTGTCACTGAAAAGAAACGTTTCACAAAGATTCCAATACAACACAAACGGGATTATCTTAAAAATTAGTTTTAAAAACAGTATTTCAGTTTTGGGGAAAGTTTTTCATATGCTGAAATATTTAAACATTTTTTTTTGTTTTTTAAGCGATATTTTTCTCTGTTTCATCTTTCTAGAAATGTAAAATATAGGGAATAGAAATGTTATTTTAATTACGAGACGTGGACTTCTGGTCCGTATTTCTATAAGTAAAAAAAGATAAAAATCAGAGATACTCCTTAGTGGATGATCTAGGAAAAAAAAATATTTTACCGAGATATATTACACTCTTAACTGATTTCAAATTACTGTCCAGAAAGAAAATTACAATTTAAAAAATAAGCTCTACTGAAATTAGCACTTATGCATCCCCGCCTTCCCAGGAGGCATGGGGTCCCGCGCGGTTGAGCGATTCGGGGTAGTAAGAAACAGCCCGGTCGTTTATTTTAGTTGATGATTGACAATAGAACTTAGGAAGAAAAATGTAATAAACAAAAAAAGCTGCAAAATCTAACACTTTTGAGGCTTCAACATTGTCGAGGCGTTACTGCGTTGTGTGCACCTCACCGACCAGGCAGATAAACGATGTATATAATTAAACTGACAATGTATCGTCAGTTTAACTATAAGCAAAAATAACGGATGACCATAAAATAGAAAAGTCTACAATGGGGTCACAAAAAATGTGCCCCACTCCAGTTGGGGTTTCGGGTGTAAAACGCGCCGGCCCTGCTCCGGGTTATCCAACGTGAATGTCAGTGAACCCTTTCCATTATTCAGAAATCAATCTTAAATGCTACAAGACAACCTTGGATGTAACTAGATAGAATATAACAAAAACTAAAACATTCATACCCTGTAAACTAATTAAACTTATAAACAACAGATTAGAAAAAAATGTGATTAATGTCTTCTTAACAAATCAATATAAATAGGCTAGTGCATGTTTGAACATGTTTGTGTCCGCTGCAACACGCGAACGTATCTTTTCGTATATGTGCGAAGGAAAACCCTGGAAGCGTCTTCCCAAGTTCATTATCTAAATTTTTTGTCATTCGCAAAGGACGAAAAATCGAATATACGCCACAGACAGTGTGTTTATCGGGGAAAAACTTTAAACATCGAGATAAATTCAATTTTTCAGTTAATTACACGCAAACTGAATGAATAAATAACAATAAAGAGAACATATTTCTCATCATTTCCTCTGCCTTAGAGCCAGAATTCACTCAGTTGTTCATTGACCACTGCCTCATTTGACTTTGGTAAAACATTCTGCTATATTTCAATAGCTTATAGTGTCAAATGAAACGATGAATTCCATCAGCAACTAAATTTCAGAAATCACCCAGTGTAAAACTAAACTCACATTTCTCAAGCTTCCAATCTATATGATATATTGGCAAGGGCGAATCGGCGTAAGGAAATGAATAGCAATCTAGACTTATTTTAAATGTGGAGTTAGATCCACACTACGTAATACATATTTGAAACTGCCTCCAACCTGCGTTAACTATACGAATTAGACTAAGACGTATAGCGTATCGTCGCGTCCTGAGTAAGACGATAAACTACATCTAACAGCAAGGCCTCTGCTCAGGAGGTTTTGAGGAGCGTGGAACCACCTCATAATTGCTGGTGTTCCCAGGTCCACCCTAACGCAACTATTAGGGTTCCAGCTATGGGCAAATAGTTAACCTCCAAAGAGAAGTCAAAACGTTTAAAGATTAGGTTTTAATGCCAGCAATACCTTTTTTGGAGAAGATTATTACCAGCAATAAATTTTCGAATAAAGAATTATCACCAGCAATACATTGTTGTCAGCAATACATTTTTGGAAAAAGAAATATTACCACCAATAGTTTTGAGAAAAAGACATTACCAGAAATACATTTTTGAAAAGAAATATTAACAACAATGCATTTTTGAAAAAAAAATTATACCAGCAATAAAAATCTTGTCGGCATTAAATAACCCATCCAGGTTGATATGCCGTAAAATATATACTGAGATAGATAGATAGATAGATAGATAGATAGATAGATAGATAGATAGATAGATAAAATATATACCAGCAATAAAAATAATTTCGTCATTAAATAAACCATTCAGGTTGATATGGCTAAATATATATACTGAGATAGATAGATAGATAGATAGATAGATAGATAGATACCAGCAATAAAAATAATTTCGTCATTAAATAAACCATTCAGGTTGATATGGCTAAAATATATACTGAGATAGATAGATAGATAGATAGATAGATAGATAGATAGATAGATAGATAAAGATATACCTGCAATAAATATCTTTTCGGCATTAAATAACCCATTGATGCTGATATGCTGTAAAGCTAAAGAAACCAAACCAAACCGTATTGTCGTTCAGGCCACAGTTTTAGAGTTTTATGATAAATTCATGACATTTTTGTTCTTTAAAAAGACGTACGATGTATATATATATATATATATATATATATATATATATATATATATATATATATTGTACGAGTTTCTTACATTGGTAGTATGTGTTTCAGGCCTGGAGATACCAGATATCTTAGTACAATTTAATATCAGTAAGCAAATGATTAATAGGAAATGGTTGGTGACGCCTATATGGACTGAGTTCCAACTAAATCATACCAAAGTAGTCAGTGCACTCGGTCTTACAACAGATCATAAAAACAGTCAAGTACCGCAGAATTTGGAGCTGGAAATTTATCTCGTAGCCAGAAAATGCAGAACTGGACGTCAGTCCATGGCATTTTTGCTGACATGTAAAGAGGAGATCGATCAAACACAGTTTAAATCTGTGCACAAGAGAGTAAACCGGATGAAAGAGAGTTATATAAGCGCTTCACTTAAGAGGAAGACGTCAAGTTCTCTCTTATCCCCGAAAAATGAATAACGTTCCAAGGAAGTCCGTAAAACGACACACTTACAGGTTGATATTAATTAATAAAGTTCACATGTGAATGTATCATAATTTTATATTTGAAATATTTAGTGTGGAAATTCACAATAATCTTTGCAACAATAATGCCGTAGGAAAATATTTCATTGTCGACCTGTATACGTGGTCGTGCGCCAGATTAAGATGATATTTGAAAAAAATGTTACTTTCACTGGTCATGATTTAATTTAATCTCATTTATTCGAAGAATTTAAGCTATCTCATCTGTGACGCATATTCATCGAGAAATTAACTTGTTATGTTTCACTGGATTAAAATTGAAACTATGAAATATTTCAAACAAGAATGTAGCTGAAGTTTTTTCAGATATCCTGAAGAAAATAGATATATATAATGATATGAATTAATAAGGTCAGCAGACAGAGACGCACAGATGTGTGTATATATATATATATATATATATATATATATATATATATATATATATATATATATATATATATATATATATATATATATGATATTTTTTCATATAGACAAAAACAATTTACTCACTACGTTTCATTGCACTTCAACTGGTTCGAACCAAAATGGTTATGAAGAATTCTGTTTTTTTGTTCATAACCATTTCTGGCCCCACCAGTCAAGGTGCAAATAAGGCATCGAATGATGAATGCAACTTTGTAGTGGGTAAATGTTTTGTACATATGTAAAAATCTATAATAAATAATTATATATATATATATATACTAAGCATGTTTGAGTGAACAAATTAAAAAGATTATGTCTGCTCATTTTTATTATGATTCTTTCATATTCACAAATACCTTTCTGTATATTAAAATTAAATATGGGCTTAATTAATTGTAATCTACAGAAAGATATTCATGAATATGAATGCGTTACGATAAATATAACCAAACTTAATTTTTCAGTTTCTTCAATCAGACATGCCTAAAAGAGAATTTAATGCTTAAATTCCCAAATACATACATATATATATATATATATATATATATATATATACACGCACACATATATATGTATGTGTGTGAGTGTGTATGCATGAATGCATATATATATATATATATATATATATATATATATATATATATAGAGAGAGAGAGAGAGAGAGAGAGAGAGAGAGAGAGTGAGAGATAGATAGATAGATAGATAGATAGATAGATAGATAGATAGATAGATAGATAGATAGATATGAAAAACTGCGATAGGTATATATATATATATATATATATATATATATATATATATATATATATATATATATATATATATGTATGTATATTTATAGAGAGAGAGAGAGACATAAACAGACTGAGATAGATATGAACAGACTGATATTATTAGATAGATATGAATAACTAAGATAGATAGATAGATAGATAGGTAGATAGATAGATAGATAGATAGATAGATAGATAGATAGATAGATAGATAGATAGATAGATATACAAATTAGTATATCACTCAAATAAAAAACAAATGTATGACAAAATGGGAAAAAATCTCCTAGGTTACACGTTTCAACCGAAAGTAATGTCCTTTCAATATATATTTCCTTAATAATTTACTTTCCCTTTCAATTAAAACTGCATTATAAACAGACTAAGACTGTTAGACATGAATAAACTAAGATAGATAGATAGATAGATAGATAGATAGATAGATAGATAGATAGATATATGTAGCCTTTTCAATTGGTAAGCTCAGTATAGATAATGATTACTGAAATATTAATTTGTGCCAGCGAAATTCTGGAAACACAGAGCGAGTCAGTTTCCCAGTTTTATCGGCGGAATGAACACATCGTAAATCCATAGACGCATCTACAATCTGAACTGACAGGATCCGGTCGGGAAATGAAGTGTCCAAATGGAATGAGCAAAATATTTTGTAGACAAAGCAGAAAAAAAGGGAAAAGCATAACTTAAGTGAACCATTTAGATTAATAAATTCATTGTCAAAATGTAAATATGCACATGGGAAGACAACCTAAAACATTGCCAACAAAATAATAAACGTTTCCCCTACATATATGATAAGTGTTTTGACCAAACAAACCGACATCCTTATTTTCATCGGAAAAAATGGTGTATTTTGGAATCTAATTTGTGTTCTTCGGTCCTACAGATGGAACTAGAATAACATTTTATCTTTCAACATAACAATCCAATGTCTAGATTTAAAGTAAATCGTATGTGGTTTGTTCGAAGGAAAACTACCTCAAGTCCGTTGTTAACTGATGCAAAAATTTAATTTTAACCCCTCCAAAACTAAACTTCTCTCCGTTAATTATCTGAGAGACTCCTCTCTACCTTTCATCAGCATGGCTTATGCTAACCTCCACGAAAGTGACTCTTTGTCCCTTCTCGGTCTAATGTTTTCAGGTGATATGAAGTGGAAAGACTCTATTGAATCCATTGCTAGGTCATCTGCTAACAGAGTTGGTTCACTGTGTCGTGCGTGACAATTTTTCTCTCCAGAATCTATCTTATATATCTATCAGTCTACCATTTGTTCATGCTTAGAATATTGTTGTCATATATGGTCTGGTGTCCCTTCTATTTACCTTGAGCTCCTTGATAAGATCCAAAGAAAAATCAGCAATATTATCGGTACTGATTTGGTTGCTCGGCTTCAGTCACTTTCCCCCCGACATGAGGTTGCCTCTGTGTCTTGTCTATAAATACTTTCATGGCAATTGTTCAGACGATCTCTTCTTTTTAATACTAATTGGGGATAGTGTTTTTTTAGAATTGTTGTTTTATTCCAATCCCCACCGACACAGTCAATGAATTGTACATATGGGGACTAGATAATATTTTCATAGAGACAATGGGGTATTATGGTGGGTGTAGTAAGAAAGGTAAGTAAGAATGTGTTGTTTTGGTGTAAGGAAACTTGTTTGTATGATTGGGTCACTGTTTGTGGCTAGCTAAGTTATCGTTAAGACAGAACAAGACCGTCCCTTTCCCCAATCCCTATTTTAGGCCTTGTGCCACATTTCTGTTTATATATCAGAATAAATAACGCTTTTTGCAATGGTACCTAGACTTTTTTTTAATTTAATCGCTGCACTGGACTAGCCTCAAGATCTCATCAATTTACAGATTAGCTAGCTAGATGTAGCCGTAAGTTCTATGCTAAGAGTTTATTTTCTCACACTTCTCGCTTGTAGAACTCTCTTCAGGCTCCAGAAATAAAGGGTTAGGTTCGAAAGAAGGCCAGAGCGTACAACGGCTGAAACGTTGTGAATATGGCAATGAACGAGGATAACAGTACGAATTATGTAAATAAGTAACAAGTCTGGGTATCATGACGAATATAATTACCTTAGTATATTTGTAGACCTATTGCTCTCACTAAATAATAACAATAATGATAAGAGTCATGCAAAGAGTTTGGTAGAAATAAAAACAAAGAAAAATATCACATATCCACCATTACTAAAATTACCAACGATGCTGATGAGAGGACAAACATAGATAGGCTGACTACATCTCTTGTCTCAGAGACAACTGGTGGACTATTAGAGCGACAGGATGGACACAAAGTTAGTGGAAAATAACTAAAGCGACTCTAACGGCAAGATGGCGCTACGATTTTACTCGATACCTCGGCTCCGACCGGAGTGAGAAGGCACTGGATTTAGATTTGAACTGATGAGTGATGGCGACCTGAGAAACGTACGTAACATAATCCCTTGTGAATGGAAACTGATAGTGTTGTTTAAAGTATCTCTTAAGATTTATTTTATAGAAAACTCTTTTATAAACTAAATATAGCAAGGTTCTATTATTTCTAGTGGGATATCAAAACTGATAAAATGAAGTAAATTTACTGACCAAAATTTAGCGTAATTAATATCTGTAAGCAAATCTATGCGTATTTATAATCGTTGTAAAATGAATAGACCTTGATTTAAAATGTATATCATAATTTTTTTCTTTATGTTTGAATGATAAAAGTTCCAAGATGATTACTGAATAATTTCCTATGAGCGTAAAAAGCGGAAGTAAGAAGTGCATATTATGGGATTATGTAAGGGAGATAACTGTTAATCTTAGACTTGAAAAAGGTCAAGATTGTAATGATCGGGAAAACAACTTCTTGTGAATTTGTTCTACAAAACAGCAGCTCTTACGAATAAAACTTCTTTCTTAATAATGAAATACGAAGGAAATGATGGTCATTTGACCCGATGTGCCTTCACATGACGGGCGTTAGATGCGAATAGACTAATTGAACTAAAAGAGAGCAGCTCATCAAAAACATTCCCCCTTTGAAATAGCCACAGAGTAACGAGAGACTTGAAAATTTTCTTCTGTGATAAAAAGAAGTTGTATACTAGGAAATAATAAGTCAACCACAAAACCATGTAGATACTTTTGAACTCTGTCCAGACAAGCAAGTGAAAACTCAGGAGTTCTAACCCAGATATTGCAACAATACTCTATTTGTGGTTTTGTTTTGTTTGTTGTTTTACGGCATATCAACCTAAATGGGTTATTTAAAGCCGACAAGATGTTTATTGCCACTAATATTTTTTCAAAATGTATATTTGGCACCATTTTTCCCAAAAATGTATTGCTGGTAATTTTCTTTTTTCAAAAATGTATGGCTGATAATATTTTTTTTCAGAAATGTATTGTTGGTAATATTTTTTCTCAGAAATGTATTGCTGATAATATTTTTTCCAAAAATTATTGCTGGTAATAAATTGTTCTAAAATTTATAGCTGGTAATAATTTTTTACAGTAATGTATTGCTGGTATTAAGACCTATTTTTACACATTTTGAAAAAAAGTTTAGGGGTTAACTATTTGCGCATAGCTAGGAACCTAACAGGTGTTACCATCCAGGTCAGATTGAACCTGGGAACACCAGCAAATAAGAGGTGGTTACATGCTCCTCAAAACCTCCAGATCAGAGGTCTTGCCGATGGGTGTAGTTTATCGTCTTATCCAGAACTCTTCATTTCTGGTCTGATTTGTCTCTTGTAAAGATAGAGTATAGCAGAGGGAGTTACTTACTGGAGAGGTACAAAGTAGTGATGCTTTCAGCATCTTTATCCATTGATCTTATATATGATATTTGCTTGATGTCTTGGGTGAGCGTCAAATCTAATAGGCTTTCAAGGCGAAATGCCTCCTTGAGATAACACATATCCAACATGGTAATAGTGATCTCGGCATATTTTCCCGCGTGGTATTTATTTAATGTCTGGCTTGTTCTGTTTGTAATGATAACAACGGCTGAGAAGAATAGGAGTCTACGTTTTTCATACGTAATAATTCATTTCTATACTCATTGAAATTAACTTTGGCCGAAATGATGATATATGTGTTTTGGCCTTTCTTCAAACGTTCGATCTTCTTGCGAGGATCCGATGCTAGTCGCTTTATATAACTGACTGTTATCCGGTTGTCTTATGTGTATGGATATATTCTAAGCTTTATTGGTTCAACCATGTCAAGCTCCTAGGTCTGCTGATATTCTTAGGTGACACGGAGAATACAACATATTTTCGTTTCTTTTACAACAAACCATATATATATATATATATATATATATATATATATATATAGATAGATAGATAGATAGATAGATAGATAGATAGATAGATAGATAGATAGATAGATAATATTAGTGGTAAATATACAAACATATGCAAAATATATAAATACCCATACATGTATATTTTTTGAATAAAAATTCCAAGATAGAATCCAGGTAGAACTCAATGTCCAGGACAGAGTAAGGATATAATAAAAAGGCTTAAACACTACTATTCCATGGTCATAATTTATTACATTGGTCATAATTCAAAAAGAATGAAATAAATTATGATCATGGAATATTAGTTTTGTTTTTAAGCCTTTTTTTTTATATATATATATATATATATATATATATATATATATATATATATATATATATATATAAGTAAAAGAAATTCTTAGTAATCCGTATGGATAATCCCAAGGAGGATGAAATCCTGAGAGCTCATTGTTAAGTCAGAGCGAATAATTTAATTTAAAGAAAAAAACAGACCACTTTAAAGCTCCATTGTAATAATTTATTTCACCAGAGAATTTTACTTTTCTCTGGATCTTCAGACTTCACTTTCAAAAGGTGAAACGAAAAATGAATTTAAAATTTACACTTTTGACGGGCAGTATTAAGCTTATATAAATTGACATAGAGAGTGGTGACGGAGGGTGTGAGAGACATGTTCGAGTTTAGAGAGGGAAGGGAGAGTTTTAAAATTTATTTTTATATTTCTTTCTATTATAATACTTAATATTGAGGAAGGAGCGGCTAAGGATCAGACTGACCTATTTAATCGGTCAACTCAACGGAAATGATATATATATATTTGTGTTCCTATTGATAAATCATGGATTATATTTTCCTGATGGATACAAAATTCGTTCCGGACATCTGTTATTATGTCGAAAGAAATTATGCTAAGGACGGACATTATTTTATTTTACTTTTCAGCATATTACACACAAGTTTATATCGATTTAAATCCAGCGGTAGAGGAAGGCAAGCGATGGCATTTAAATTTCGCTTCTCCAACAATTGTTATTTTGATTTTGTAGTGAAGTGTATTGGAGAATTAACATGCTGTAATACTGTTCTACTTCCAAACCACACTAATTCTGCAATAAGTTTTATTTCAGTTATACCATAATTTCCTTTTCATTTATTGTACCTGTCGATGAAACACAGCTCACCAGTGTCATTAGAGATCATAGAACTTTAGACTATTACGTTTCTACTGCTACCGCAAATTACTTTTCCTTAAACGCCACGCTTTGGGGTAACCAAATTTGGTGGGTGCTGTGAGACTTCAAAAGATTGATTTTTGTTTCATCTGACCAGAGAAGGTCACCTGAAAACGTTGAATTGTGACCC